CCCCCCTCAAGTTGGAGCATGCGGATTACGAATGCCCAACTTGCCAAGAAAGAAATCAAATTCACTCTTCCCAAGCGCCTTAGTGAAGATGTCAGCGAGCTGTTCCCCAGAAGGAACATGAGTAGTAGAAATGAGACACTGAAGAACAGCATCTCGAACAAAGTGGCAATCACCTCAATGTGCTTAGTCCGCTCGTGAAAAACTGGATTCGCCGCAATATGCAGTGCAGACTGGCTGTCACAGTGTAACCGCATAGGCTTAGAGTGAGCGACACCAAGAGTAGATAATAGTCCCCGTAACCACTTCAACTCTCACAATGTAGTAGTCATCGCCCGATATTCAGCCTCAGCAGAAGAGAGTGTGACAGTAGGTTGTTTCTTGGTTCGCCAAGAAACAAGAGACTGACCCAGCTGAATAAACCAACCAGAAAGAGAGCGCCGAGTGAGAGGGCAAGACGCCCAATCCGAATCACACCATGCATAGAGTTGAAGATCGCAGTCAGTACGAAGATAAATCCCTTGACCTGGAGAGATTTTCAAATATCGAACCACACGTAGAGCACAGTCCCAGTGAGCCTGAAGCGGTTGATGCATAAATTGAGAGAGCATATTCACCGAATAAGACAGCTCAGGTCGAGTCACTGTCAAATAGATAAGACGTCCGACTAAACGACGATATTGCTCGGGATCAGACAATAGATCACCCTCAGCAAGAGAAAGTTGATGATTCTGCTCTAATGGAAAATCAGCTGGCTTGCTCCCTAGTAATCCGACCTCAGCTATGATGTCAAGAGCATACTTCCGCTGACAGAGAAAGAAGCCAGAAGAATTTCGGGCCCAGAAAATACTTAAGCAATGCAAGATCCTTCATGTGAAAACAACGACTCAAGTAACTCTTGAAGGCCGTAATGGATGTGGTATCATTCCCAGAAATAATCAAATCATCTGCAGATGGACAGAACCACGATGCAACGTAAAAAGAGAGTAATCATGATAGAAGTGACAAAAACCATACTGCTTCAAAGTCGTAGTCAACTTGGCAAACCAGCAACGGGGGGCCTGTTTCAAGCCATAGAAAAAACGACGTAGACGGCAAACCTGCCCATCAACGCCAGAACGAAAACCAGGAGGAAACTACATGTAAACCTCCTCAGCTAAATCACCATGAAGAAAAGCATTGTGAACATCCATCTGGTGAACTTCCCAATGCTTAGCAGCAGCCACAGGCAAGAATAACCGGACCGTAACCATTTCAGCGACGGGAGCAAACGTCTTGTGATAGTCAACCCTTCTACCTGATTATTGCCCAAAATCACCAAACGCGCTTTATAACGCTCAACGGAACCGTCAGACTTATGCTTGATCTTAAAGACCCACTTGCACCCAATCGCACACTTCCCAGATGGAAGAGAAACTACATCCCACGTG